ATATTTCTAATAATTAATTCTTTATAGACTTGATGTTGAAAAGGTTTCTAATATGGCTAAATTACATTCTTTTTACATGATGAATGCAAACAGTGGATTAAATTGCATTACTCAAGAAATGTCAGAGGAACAATTGATTAATGCTTTACATGATTATGGGGATGGATTATTTTCTGGAGAGGGAATTTTTGATTTTGAAGATACTGATGATGACAACAATAGTGATGATGATAACAGTAATTATGATATACCTAATTTAGAAATAGAGAATTCTTTTTATTTGTCAGATTTTAATGAACCTTATGAAAGAGAAAATTTTAATAGACCATTAGAAGATATAGAAGATCATGGTGATCCTGATTATAATATAGATGATATGGGGCATGCTGCAACAAAACCAGACAAAGTGAACATTGATATTAGTATTACCAAGAATTTCAGGGGGACCAAAATTTAGTCTTTATTATCACAATTGTAATACAGTGGTGATCATAAATAATGCAACAAAAAAATAAAATTCATTAAATCGAAATATTTTGTGAAAACTCAGAGATATATGTATTTTTTTTTTGATAGCTTTGTTTGTTAATAATGTAATTTATATATATATAAATTTCAATAATTATTTCTATGTCCAATCTTAAGATAAAAGTGTGATTAGTACAAAACATGTGTTGCATTATATATGATCATTTATACAAGAATCAGGGGATCATAGTTGTGCTACATAAATGTTATATGAAAGGAAATTTTATTCCATTTGTTTACATGCCATACCCGTTGTTACAACTTTTTAGTAAAAAGGCCAAGACAAAAAAGCCTCATACAACTCTGGAAGAAAGAGTCCAAATTCTTCTTTCTCTTCAAAATGGACATACTACAAGGCAAATAGCAAAGTCAACAAATATTAGCCCCTCAACAGTTTCTCGTATTAATAAAAGATGGCATGAACAACACTCCCTCAAAGATGCACCAAAACCAGGTTGACCATCTACTATAAATGAAACAATAAAAAATAAAATTGTCAATCTCATCACTTCGCGAAGGTGCTCATCTGCTCCAGAGGTCCAAAAATGTATAGAAGAAAAAGAAAATATTAGTATTTTGTCACCTACCATTCATTGTATACTTCATGCAAATGGTTTAGTATCAAGAATTAAAAGAAAAAAACCCTACCTCAGCAGTAAACACCGAAAGCGTCGGTTAGAATTTGCAAAAGAACATGAACATTGGACTATCGAAGACTGGTCAAAGATTATATGGTCCGATGAGTCTAAGTTTAAGGTTTTTGGATCAGATGGGAAGCAATATTATTGGAAACGTCCAGAGGAACCATTAAACCATTTCCACATTAAACCTACAGTGAAGTTTGGGGGCGGGTCGGTGATGATATGGGGCTGTTTTACATCTCGGGGTGTTGGTGGCTTTTGTAGGATTGATGGCATTATGGATGCTAAATTGTATCAACAGATACTTCATGAAGATCTTATGAATACTATCAAAGATCATGGATTTAATGTCAAAGAGGTCATATTCCAACAGGATGGAGACCCTAAGCATACAGTGAATTCAACAAAACGATGGCTCAAAAATAATAAAATAAAGATCTTGGATTGGCCCCCCAATCCCCGGACCTTAATCCCATAGAGCATCTATGGAATGAGGTTGATCGTCATCTCAGGCATCTCCCTGGGCAAATTTCGGGCAAGGAGGATTTATGGAATAAGATACAACAGGTTTGGTTTGAAATTGATGTTGAAACTTGCACCAACCTAATCCATTCTATGCCAGAATGAATCCATGATGTTATCAAGGCACAAGGTGGTTATACAAGGTGGTAGAGGTTAAATTCTATAACGTTGTTATTATTTTTATTTTATTTTATATATTTGGATTAGCTAAAATTTATATATTATGTAAGCTGTGTTAAAAAAGAAAATAAATAATGCAACACCACTTATTGAATAAATGCATCGTTTGAAAAATAATTGATTTATGGATCCACCCTTGAATTTCAATATATAAAAACAATGTTATTAACAAATGAAACTATCATAAAAAAAAGAAGCATGTCTTTGAATTTTATTTTTTTGTTGCATTATTTATGATCGCCACTGTAGTAAGTACATGTAATGTGATTATTTGTATGATTATGATTTTTTTGATAAGCTCGGCCAAATTATTTTTGGATTCAGCATCATCACTGACTCACTCACTATATGAGAAACTTACTACTACAAAAAAAAACAAAGAAGTTTCATGCATCTCATATAGGTTACATCAATTTCAATATTTTTTTATTTATTTAAAATATTAGCCAATAATCTCATAAATTATTATCAAATTAATATTTATCATTTTATTACATATGTATGTATGTAGCTAACCATTATTTATCAATATCATATAAATTATACCAATATTCAAATTTGAGAAAGTCAACCTTATGGAGTTCTAGAGATTTTTGGTGAACTAAATAATTCTTCAAAAGAAGAATCTTCTAGACTCATATGATCACCTTTTTGTATATTGTTTTCAATTTTGTTTATGGAATTTTGTATTTCTTGAACAATTTTTTTCAAAACCACATAGATGTTAATTACATTTAAAGCAAAGTTTTCAAATTTGCTTTTTTGTGATATTTCAATTGGTATCTCTACTGGGGAAAGATGTTGCCCAATAAAGATTTCCTATTTGATCCAAAAACATGAATTGAAATCTGCGTTCTGAAAAAGTAGATCATATTAAAATATAATATTTATATTTATTTTGTAAATACATACAATTATTTATGATTTAATCATAAAAAACAATGCTTACTATAAAACCACAGGAGTGGAATAGGAACCAACACTAGTGATCTAATTAATGATCTGTTTACCCCATGTGGGTATTGTTCTCTAATATGTTTGAGAAATAGTTTTTTGCCACAAACACCAAGATGAAACAATTTTCTGTGATCTCCTTCTATATGTTTTAGATCTGAATCATATGGCATTCCAGATACCTCACCATACAATATCTCATATGAAATGCCATCAATGTTAATGGTCGCCCATATATCTGGCTTTTTTTGTGAAATTTTATGCTCATCAGGTGAGATTAAGGTTGTGGGCGAAACCTCCTTAGTAATTGCTGAAACCATGGCAAAACTATATTAAATCTTATCAAAAATCCTGTTGAAACTATGCTGAAATGGCAAAACCTCAAAATGTGAAACTCTGCTGAAACTCTAATAAACAATTAATGTGTAACCTGCCAAAACCCTGCTGATTGATTTCTGGATGAGTTTTGGCAAGCAATCTTAGGTGAGATTCCTTTCATATATGCATCATAATTGAAATTGTGAATCACAGAAAATTTTGTTGCATCACAAACTTTTGCTGACCTACAAAAATTTCAACATATTGCTTGGCATAAAATATTCTTTATTATTATTAATTATGAAAAATAGTTGATATTATTTACCATTGTGGAAAAACCTGATCCAAATAGTTCGTTGTTGCTGTCATCATGATATGAACAGGTTCAGCAACCCAAAGTCCTTCATTAATTGAACTGTTAGGTTCAACTAGATTGTTATATCGACCTTTCTTCCATATTATGTCACTGAAATTGTTTATATTAGTATCAAACATAAAATAATAAATAGACATGTAATAACAAAAAAAAATGCTCACAATTGATCATACAAGTAGTCAATGATTGGATTAAACTCATTACTTATTGATTTAACTAATTTTGAACTTTGTAATTCTAACAAATAATCTTTAATTGTAGTTTTTTGGCAATCATCTAAACTCGAACATAATTCTGGAACTTTTTTGAGTTTTGAAATAATGGATTCACCAGAAACACCAGAGAATATATTTCTAACATAGTTGAGTGGTAAAGTGTCATTTGGTCCTGGAGATTTTATATATAAAGCCAAACTGTTTTGATAGTTTGTTACATCTAGAACATAACTTAATAATGGGTGATCATAAAAACACTTTTCTATTAACTTTTTATTGTTAAGAATATAAGAGGCTACTATTAAATCGATATTAATTGCTGCACTTGATAATGATGGTAGATAAAACTTGTAATCAATCTAAAAAGGTGATATTAGCAAATTGTAAGGGAAATGAAGTTATTTAGAGCCTTTTCACTCAATGTTATTGTCAATATCACAACTTATTTTAAATAAGCTTCTTAACATAAAAAAACATTGAATGAGAATTCTCATAATAATAAGTTTACATACCATGAACTTTTCATACTCAAGATAGACTTGGCTATAGTTTTCTGCTTCTTTGGTTTTTTTTGTCTTTGTAATCCTTTTTGATTTTTTATCAGTAGTAAAATGGTAAAGATTGTTGAAAATTAAAAAAAAAATTCTTAACAATAATAACTAGAGTGATAACAAGTGATGGCAATAACCACCACCATTCTTAAAACACTTGCACTCTTGCAACCTCAGCTTTGTTTTGTTGTTTGGTTTGATTTTGCTGGTGAGGCATTTTTGTAAAAGAAGTTTGTTATTTGATCGACACGTACACATTAATTATTTATCCTATTACTATTGGCAGTCGCAGGACATTGCGGATCTACAGGGGGTCAAGTGTCACTCACTAATAAAAAATTTTTGATCAACACGGAATTT